TTCATTGGTGGTATATCGCATACTCTGCCACATCCCATGTCCAAGAAGTTAATAAAATCGCAAACTTCTATATCACCGCAAGAATTACGACTCAAAACTTTTAATATATTATCTATAAGCTCAGGGCCAAATGGCAACCGACAACCCTTAAGTGTAGAGCGTATTTTCATTTCTGAAACAAATGGTTTTTGGCCCGGATTTAAGTGATATAAGTGCTCTTTTAATTCATCTATTGCATTCCACAGGTTGCGTTTTATTTCAAGATGCGCCGCAGATCGTACATATTCTCTATCACAAGATAGTATTTGTTCTTTCTCAACTCCGAAGTACCGACATAACGTAATTACTTCGTGATTGGTAATGCCATTACCCAAAGAATCAGAAAGTGCACGCTTAACCGTTTCATAATTTATAAACTTCATTTCTTTAGCACCTTCAGCTGTTGCTGGTAAACATTTACCTACGAAATCTTTGTAGTTGGGTCGTATAGCTTCGCGCACTTTTTCCATAATTTTCTTTATATCAGAGTTCGGGAACTATAAAATATAAATTGTTTTTTAACTAACAAACATTTTGTTTAAAACGATTTTATAATACCTCACTACAGTTGTGTTCCATATACATTAGAGTAAACTCGTCGGCCGATACAACAGTGAAAATGAAATCGTTAATATTCATAGTTGCGCCAATGTAGAAATTACTGGCTTCATAGCATAATGGTCGCTTGACACTGAACCTCTTTTGGCCAGGCAGCTCAATACGGGTACGTTTTAAGAATTCTCCACCTAAGAAACCAGAGTTACGAATTGCGATCTCGTAAATTTGAATTGTGTCATCAGCTAAATAGTAGGAAATAACAAACGACCGTTCACAATTTTCCGGTATGGTTGATAGTAGTTTGGCACCAAAGCGCAGTATATAACGCTCATAATTATACCACTTATTGAAATCAATACGCGGTGGTTTAGGTTCAACAGACTTACAGTTGCCCTCTGAATCTTCATATGTGCCCCAACCATTATATGGAGGCAGAATGCGTTCGACTACTTCTTCGACTTCTTCAATCTCACGTAGTGGAACAGGTAATGGGGTGAAATCTTCAATGCCATACTAATTTAAGATAATATGAAGATATGTAAAGCGGATACGTAACTGTGCGATATAAGATTATAAATTATTTGTAAAGCATACCTTTTTTCTATAGTACGACCTAGTAAATTCATCGCAATCGACTAACATAACTGCACGACCGAAAACATTTATTACAGCTCCTATTTGAAGATCGCGATCGGAGTAATAGAGTACTTCTTTGCATCCAGTATTTAGTGGGTCTATAACATAACGTACATCTCGTACACCACTACCTAAAACATTTAATACAGTTTGTGGAGTTTCCTGCCCTGGAAGTGGTAATGCATATGTTTCCTGTAGAGAAATAAAAAGATTTTACATTAAAAAATATTAACAAAAGTATATTTTTAACAAATAAAATAAACTATAAATATATATTACTCTGGGTAGCCTAGTACGACGTAAAAAGCTAGCTGGGCCCTCGCGACCCGAATTTCGAGGATAAATTTCCTTGATGTCTATTGTATCATCGGCTAAATAGTAACACAATTCCAATCTGCGTACATCTCCAAATTCTGATCGATCATCCCAATAACCATGAAATTTCAATATTTGTCGGTCGTATAGTAGAAACTGTGTGAAAGGATGTTTCTTCGCTGGTGGATTCACAATTTTTATGCCTTCACGTTTACGGTATTCAGCTGTCGGGTCTCTAAATAATATATAATTGCAAAATATTATCATTGTAATTGACTTTCATTATTGTAATTGACTTACGCTGGTTCATCAATAGGATCCGGTACTGATATTCCTGCACGATTCAAGAAATTACGCGTGAAACGGTCGCAGTTTGTTATATGATAAACCCGATCATATATTTGCACTGTAGCATCCACATTTAAATCCAAAAGAGTTAAAAACTCTGATTCGCATGGTGGTGGCTTTGGTATGCGTTGGCGATGCACTAAACAACCTTGGGGAATACCAGAGTTTCGCACACAAGGCTCTATAATCTGCATTGTACCATCCTCCAAGTAGAAGTAAATTTTTACTTTGCGTACTTGGTAAGGGGCGTGATAAACCTCTTGCAATGTTTCCTTGAAATAGGCATGAAAACACAAACATTGTTTATCATATGCCAACCAAGGAGGCAAGCGCGGACCGCTTTTAGGTGGATGCAGAGATGGTATTTGCACTGGCGGACAATTCGGATCGGCTATCATGCCATTCGGTTCTACTAGTTTCGGAGGTAGACGGTCATTTAGCATACTAATACCCTTGTAGGTCATAAAGTTTTGCGGCTTCGGGAAATGACTTTTGGACAACTA